GAGCCGAGTTGGAGTCGTATGACGGTCGTATAATGCTGTGAGGACCCGGCTTTTGTCATCTCATCTCAATCCAAGATTACATGGAAAGGTCAAATGCTATCAAGCTCTCAACCTAAACTTATAAAAACATCATAATAGAATTTCATATACTGTAAATTTGGAAATTCATTGTATTAATTTATATTATTTAAACATTTTGTTAATAATTATTAACTGATATCTTACAGGCAATTAAGTGATTTAAATCGCAAGTACAATGCGATGAAGCGAGACCAGCAGATGCAGAAGAAAAAGAGCGCACAGTTGCTAGAGGCAGCAAGGAAACGGGAAGGAGAACTTACCAGTGATTCCCAAGAACTGCAGGTAAACGATGGTTGGGTGTCACATGACTAGCTTTGTAGGTCATGTGATCAGAATGTGTTATAATTTTATGAGATATAAAAGTAAATCCTTGCCGAGCCACTGGGCCTCACTTTACTGCAGTTTATCCCCAGTTTCTGTAGCATGAGGCGGAAGAGAATGAATGATATTGCCCCTGGGTGGGACGTTAGTCCACCGCAGGTTACTCCCAGTAATTTGCAGCTGCCCAGTAATACAGCTGGGTAGACTAAGGCTATGTTCACACACACGGCGTAAGGCTGGCTTAAGCATGGCGTAGCGTACGCCTTTGTGTGTGAACTAGGCAGTGGCGTTGTTAAAGCCACTCACTACGCCACGTCCTTGGCGTTATTAACGCTACCTGCAGACGCCAGATTAGCTAACGCCAGTGATGCTTGAATGGTTTTACCTCATTTCAAGAGATTCTTTTTCTATTGCATTTTACTTAGTTATAATGTATATGATTTGTTGATTGTGTTTTGTAAGATATTTTAACATATTTAGACTGTCTATTAAAACCTGCAACACCAACAATGCTAGCTGAAAAATCAAAGCAAAATTGTTCATTTAAAATACAATAATCATTTCACTTCGAACAATTCACAGATTTAAAAGTTTTACTGATGCACTGTTAATTTTACTACAGTTAAGAACCCGTACATTATTTAAAACTTAAAACTATTCCCCCATAGGCCTATATTACTACTAGTTTAACGCCAGCGTTAATATAGCGAACGCCGTTTGTGTGAACGCTTTGGAATTTTAATCCGTGAATTAGCTTACGCCTGGCGTAAGCTACGACATTCTTACGCCGTTTGTGTGAACATAGCCTAAAGTAATGTATATAAAGTGTGTATAAAGTGCCTTGCTCAAGGACACAAGTGAGATGCATAGCGAATGATTGAAACCCTGACCTTGAGGATGGAAAACCAAACCATTCCCACTGTGCCGATTTATTAATAATTGTTTACAACATTCAGTGTATGAAGAAATGAGGCTTTTTCCGAAAAAAATGACAGCACATTTTATTAGCCATCTTCATGTACTACACATTACACTCATTGCGAAAAGTTACAGTGCTAAATGCTAATTTGGTTTTTATAATTTTGGAAACATGGTTCCATTCAATCATTTTGTTTTAATGTTGTTGAGAATTTATCACTTCTCTTCTTTTCATGTTCTTCCTATGGTTGAATATGTATTTTATCTGTAATGAGTATTTTAAATTTATATGTTTTTATATGTATGTATCTATTAATTGTTATTGTTAGTTTTTATTCTATTTATTATTATTATTAATTGTTATTATTAATGTCATTATTAATTAACCAAGGGCTGAATTTGGGTTTTAGTGTATAATTAAAGGGATTATTATTATAATTCAAGTAAATCCAACTCAATTCTCCTTTATTCAGTCATTTATTTCACTCTGATAATAATTTTGTACTTCATTATTCCATTTGCCTGATTTTAGGAGTTGATGAAGCATAAGGATGACAGGATAGAGGAATTGGAGGAAGCATTGAAGGAAAGTGTCTACTTAACAGCTGACAGGGAAACGATGATTGAGCAACAACAGTACAACATTAGACAACTAGAGAAACAAGTAAAATAAATATTAATCATTTACATTTGTATAAACATATAGAAACATATTTCTGGTATTTTAAACATGTATTTTGTTGAAGTTGAGTCCTGTTCACAATAAATAATACGTATGTTTTTATATAGTGCTCTACACACATCTCATAGTGCTTTTTCCACATTATCACCCCAGCCATTGGAATAATGCCTATTGGGAATTCCCATTCCACATGGTCCTGTGTGCATTTATGACCCATGTGCACTTGAAAGAATGCAGTACACTCTTCGGAAAATCACCACCAGAAGGACCCCACTGGAAATAAGTCTTCTAGACTATCGTGGGCTATCCTTGGTGTTTACACCGAATAAATCCAACTGTATATTGTCTGATTGGCTACTAATCAGAAACATGTTATATTTAAATCATTTGTTCTGATCTTTAAAGCTCTGCATCTGAATGAAGTATTATATTTGCGCTCATTGCTTTCCCAATATACTCCATCTTGCAGTCTTCGCTCATCCTTTCCTTCTCTCACCAAGTACCATACCAAAGGCTACGGTCAATGTTCTTTCACTTATACTGCTGCCTATTTTCGGACGTCGAAATAACATAACTTCTTCTAACTCAGTTTGCAACTCTTAGTCACAGGTTAAGACCTATTTGTTTTCTGGTGGCTATTCACATGCGTTGCATCTTTGGTCTTTTTCAGAATTGGTGCCATATATCATGCACTTAACCATTGAGATCCTTGGTTCAATTCCTTGCTATTTTGTTTTGATTTTTTTTTATTCACTAGATTGAAAAGCTTTCAGCCAATGTAAGAAAATATCATATGAAAAAGATAGCAAATAAACATTCGCTTGCAAAATAAATTTATTTGTATGACTGTGATCTCGTTGAATATGATGCCCTTACCCCTGCCAGATGCAGGAAGTCGTGTCAAGATAATTGTTGTAAATTAAATTGTTGTTTGGTTTTTTGAATTCCGCCGGGTAAGAAGCTTTTCTAGCTGAACAGCATGAACCAACCTTTTCAAATGGAAAAACATCATCAAAGCCTTGTCAACCTGACCTTGGCTTAGCAACAAGAAAAAATTAGTTTGATCTTCATTCATAAGATTTACATTCTTTAAATCTGGCAAAATGTTTACTGTACAGATCTATTGGTGAATAAGGTTTTTAACACTTTGGCCGGCAAACATGGAGATCTCCGTGTCTGCTAACACAACGCTCGACCGCCAAACACGGAGATCTCCGTGTTTGCTAACGCAACGCTCAACCGCCAAACACGGAGATCTCTGTGTTTCAGGTTTTTGTACGGAATCCGATAGATGGGGTAATTACCGATATGTACTAACAATTTGAACACTATATTCAGTCTGGACTGTAAATAGTTCGCTATTTGTTTGTTTACATTAGCGTTGTGCGGTATTGATTTACTTTCACGAAATCGCTATTATCTCAGCTTCGGTGTGCAAAATTGCGTAAATCCCCAAAAGTAAGTCATTTTCATTTTACTGTTATGGGTCACCGATTGTGATTAGAATAAATTGTTTGGTACCATTGTAAATCTAACAAGTTTGTAGTTCTTGTAGTGTTCACTACATGCCAATCTGATCACATACACACTCTCAACAAGCTTTGGAAGTGTTAAAATTTGCTAAAATGTCTGGCGGTGGCTGATACTATTTTTTCAAACCGCTGGCGGTCAGAGTGTTAATGTAACCTCAGATAAATTAATAAAGAATGGTAAACCACAGTACTGTTGTATTCCTCCATTTTTAGGCCATTTAACTGGTCATTATTTGGAAATTTCTGGCTTGGCAGTTTCATTTCAATTCTTTATTCCACAATTGTCAATATAAAAATACTTGTTACATATCACTTTTTTTCAAAATATGTGGAAAAGGGTATCCCACCACAAGCATTGCTGGGATCCTTAAAAGCTACGTGTATAAGAGACAGGTTTTTATATTACTTTTTCCTGGTCCCATGCCCATCCTGTTACATGTCCAATTTGACTGTAGTGTCAACTCATGAGGGATTCACTCGTAAGTCCAGAAGTAGCACAAAGCATGGCACACGGGGATTTGAGTATGGAAACTTAAAAAACCAAGACTAAAACAACAGGAAACTGAAATCTTACAGATTTCATCAGAAATTATAAACACAAATTGACTAACACAACACTAACCATTGCATTCATCTTGAAAACATGGAAATGCTTTTATGTATATCCACATACTGCTCAACATGAGAAAGTTTGGGTTTGAACCAAATGGCATGATGTTGAAATATGCCTTTTATATTTTCACACTATCACATTATCAAACTCGGAGGACTCAATCACAAAGCACATAGAGGCTTTTTTTGCATGATGCACTAAACAAGCCCTACTATTATTATCTGAACTACCTACAATTGGCCCCTCAGTAATGGAAAAGGAAAGTTTGCCGAGCTTTTTTTGTTACCAATATTGAAGTACTAAGGAAATATGAAACCTAGAGAAGAAGTTTGACACTTTTTAGAATGATAGGTGACTCACTAGGGATCTGAACCATTGACCCAAATAAGTTAACCAATAATCTTACTTAAGTTCTTTATGACAACCATCAGATTGGTTTTTCTGAAGTGTGAGTAGCTTTTAATTGTAAATTGGTACTAAAATTCTGTTCATGTGGGCTGATATTATGTTATCAATGAGAAGAAAAATAGATAAATAGACATATACTGGTAATGTTAATTTATCATATGATGTTTTATGTAACATAAATTCTCATAGATTAGAAGTAAACATAGTGAGCAGGTAATGAGGAAACTTCCCAATTAGAGGTATGTCTTCCCTCCTCCCTTTCATCCTACTCTCCTTCCATTCAAGTTGCAACAAAAAGAAATAACTTCAATAATGAGAGGTGACAACCAAAGGAAAGCTTGGTTTCCATACAATCGCTACACACTAATGCCAACAGCTTTCGGTGATGCTGATTGGTCAGCCAAATCAAAGTGCCTTCTAGATTGTGTCCTGGATTGCACTGAAAACACTGTAGCGACAGTGTAGCGGTTTTAAGGAAACCAGGCTTAGAGCAACTCCGAAACGACTGAATATCAACAAGGTGTACTTACCTTTGCAAGGAGGCATAATGAAGCATTCCTTTATTCTGTCTGTCACTTGATGGGTTGGCAGATGAAGAATACTGGAATTGTGCGCAACTGTTAACTTGTGCAGACAACAATTAGCATCAATCAGAATCTGTCATTATAGTTAATCCATAAGGAAATCCCTTTAGAATGGATGCTTCCTTAAGGATCATTCAGGATCAAGTCTATCCAAACACACGTGCCCTATGTTATCATCACTGTACTTGTCAATTTCTTTTTTTTTAAATTTCTTTAAAAAAAATGTTTTTTTTAAATTTATTTTTAAAGAAACCAAAATTTCTGTTTTTCATACATAGTAGATACAGTATTTGTTAATGTATCTCCTAAAGTATAACCAAAAACATAAAAACTGGGAAAGTAAATTGCAATCCTTTTTATTAACTATGTCCTAGGTAATTTTTGTGATCGAATGTTAGCTCTTCCTCGCTCAGGATTCAGTTAATATTGTAGAACCAAGTGTTCTCTGATAAGGACTTAAAACCAGAGGTCCAGTGTACATATCTGGCTCATGTGCACTTCAATTTAAGGAACCCATCACATCTTTCAGAAGAGTAGGGGGTTGCAGTGGCGGCACCAGCGGGAGGACGTGGGGCTCAAGTCCCCCACCAAACAGGTCAAGTCCACCCCCCCTCCCAATGCACAATGACATCTATTGTCTTTACCTGTATACTTTTTGTATTGTTGCATCATACATCAAATCCAGTTCCCCTCCCTGAGGGTGCTAGACAACGTGACACCGTCTACTGATTTTCGATGTCAGTCTTAACTGATCGCTATTAAAAAATGATCCGTTCCATGTACATCGTGGCGTTTCATGCTCCATAGAATTGTGTCGGCCGACGACTGTTGAGCACAGTGAGTTATGATTTATCATTAAAAAATATTTATGTTTATCAGAAGATAGTATGAAACAAACTCCAAAAAAAGTGATACAAGCCATTGTAATTCAATATTTCGATCTTCAGGAATGATTCATGTTGTTTCTGATTTGATTCCAGACAAGAAGCGCTTGCTGCTGCCATTGCTGAGAAAGACACCAACATGGCATTATTAGAGTTGCGCAAGAAGAATCCAAAGGTGGCGGAAGACATCCGTAAACTCAGTTGGGAGAAGGAAGCACTTGTTAAACGATTGAAAGAAGAGGTATGTTATGTTTTCGTTGTGAATATTTGTGTGTTGGAAGAGGGGGTGGGGCCGTAAATTGTTGCGAGCATTCCAGTGGTGAAATTAAATACTGTATACAAACCGATACCTACTTTCCGGGCCACTTAATTGATTTGGACCTTAGTAATGGAAAACAAAAGCTTTGTTACATTTGTCAATCAATGTATGCAGGGAATGCTATCTCTCTGTTTTTTGTTTTGTTTTTTTTTGTTTTTTGGGGGGTTTTTTATTCCCACATTTGAGCAGATAAAAAATGAGCTACACTGTAAATTTTAATTGAAGTAAACACAGTATATCTACTGTGTTTTTATGGGATCTAATATATTCATTTCTAATTCTCAATTTACCTGTGATTTTTAAGTGCATTGACAGATTTAATGCAGATTGAATTCCAGTAAAGTTGTGACTGTAATGAATATTATTAGTTTGTTCGAGCTACTTTTCAACTCCAAAAAATAAATTATCTGAAAAATATTGAAAGTAATCTTGCAGACATTTAAAATGTAATTGTATGTGTTTTTTTAATTTGCATTAAAGCAAGATGGATGGGACCAGAAAGTAAAGAAACAATTTATTCTTACTGTTATTGCCTACTTAAAATACATTTAATAATATAAGCTTAGGCAGAGTATTTCTATTTTAGATTATGTATTACTAAAAACACATTGTTTCAGAATGATGTCACATGAAGCAGGTACTTGTCAGATTTAATAGCAATTTAGCTAATTAATTCTGAACATGATTAAACCAAATTCCAATGTGGTTGGCCAAAAACTAATTCCTCAAATTAATAGCAATGAAAGTTGAAGTGATAGCTTAATTAATAAGATAAATGATTACCATTTTGGCAAATTCTTATTGAAATGTTTTTCTCAAATCTAGGTTTGATTTCACGTATGGCATATTTATGTGCGACTGCTTTAATAATATATAGCGTAAAGAATAATGTAACTAGTAATTCTTACCTGTCAACTAAGTGAAAAAAATAACCTTAATTGAGTTTTTCAATCTATAGGCACGATATCAATCAGCAGCACATTTTATTTTATTTGCAGATTTTTTATTTGCACAAATGAATTAAAAATTTGGCTGCCAAACTAGAATGCAGATTAATGAAAAATGACTTGACTTGTTTTTTCCATCAAAGAGGGCGGGAGCTACATAGGCTTAAATATTCGTTTGTAAGCGCCAGTGGTTTTGTGATTACATAACATGGTCCGAAATTAATTTGTATGAATGTAAATCTTCAAAAAAAAAAAAAGGACAATATCTTATAAGAATCAGTGTGCAAAGTTCCATCCTTCAGTTTAAGAGCCTTTAGGGTACCAAGTTTTTCTGAATCGAGCATGATTGTATGATTTTGTCACAATGGCCCTTTGGTGTAAGAATGCATGTTCCAGTCTAGTGTAAGTGGTAGAATACAGTCATTATGTAGGCCTCAAATTCATAGTCTGCATAGGTGCAATGTGTCAGGTGTAGGCTCAGGTAGGGCAGTTAATGTAAGTGTTCATAAATGAGTGAACGCAGGAAAGGTTTACATGTTTTGGTTTAGTCAGTGACATTCTAAGACAGTTCTGTTTCTGGTGGGTAAAGCTGACCTGCTAAGGACTGCAAAATTGCAGGAGTGTAATAGGAGGGATAGAAAAGGTTGGTGTTTAAGTCATCAATGCATGTAATCTGGGTTTGCAGGTTTGGATTTAGTCCATGATGATCTGTTTCATACAGCACATGTTAGGTTTCATCAGCAAGTGGACTCTTGGAGGTTTGTTTGTTTGGGTGGTGATCTGTTTAGTTGAGTTAGTTTCATCAGGGAGTGGATTAAGTACAGATTGGCAGGTATGTTAGTAGCCCATGATGTTTGGAGACTGTTTATGCTAGGTCACAAGTATACTTCATTGAGCTTAGATGCTATGGGATTAACCTATTAATCTGAGAAAATTTTTGTGAAAGTTCATCCCAAATGAAATCATATCTAGAATTCATATGCTTCTTATTTATTAATTGATTAATGAATGAACAAATTCATCTCATAGATAATTTGATATTAATGGAGAAGTCAATGAAAGTATGTCAAGGTGATTGTAAGTATCTGCTTAACCCTCTGAGGCATGAATGATTCATGATGGTGCTCTTCTAAAGGAAATTAAGGGATGCTTATCAGGGAGGAGTTAATATAGTTGTTATCTTACAATTTCATTTCATTATTTATTTGGTCCAAACACAAAATACTAGGTAGGTAAGTAGACCAGGACCAACCAAAATGAAGTTAATCACTGTATCAGTGCTGGTGGGTCCATCATTCCCAATCACAGATACAAATATAAAAAATTTAAAAAGAGAAAAATCACAAAAACAAATGAATCAAAATGAAGATAAACCTTTTGAAGAAAGGAAGATAGATTTATAACAGTTAACAGTTTGTGTTTTCAAAAGAAATGAATAACAAATATAAAAAGGAAGATAGATTTATAGCTAAAATGTATTCTTCTATAGCAGCACTCGCCACACTGTCATCTTTTTTTTCATAAACATAGATATAAGTGTTATGCCCATAAAAGGGGCATGATGATATCATAAAGTAGTCGCAGGCCACGCCCATATGGAATTCATGAGCTATTCTCCTACCTCTACATTTACTGTTGGGATATCGCAGTTATTTGTCACCAAAAAAACAAAAACAAAGTACTGTAATATTTTGGACAGCTTAAAATAGAAATTATTCTGATTTGATACAAATTGAAGTTTATTAAGAGTTTTAAAAAATGTAATTGTTTGGATCAATTCCTTCTCAAATCAAACTACACTCATTTTAATAATTCATTGAAGATTTGACTTGGCATGTTTGTAAATACAACACAAGGGGTAATTCCTAAGGTGGCCCAGATTAGAATTGAACCGTACAACATCACACGTCAGGAGTATGTTTTACTGGTATTGTTTCATGATTTAGCTAAGAATGCGTAGTATCATTGAAGCAGGCAATTCTTTATAACAGCTGAACACTTATTTATGGTTGTTTTAGGCTGATCTGATGCCTGATCGATGAGGTAGTTGAAAGGGTTGATGAGGATATTTTGTGGGAGCCAAAACCTCCAACAACACTAGTAATTACGGAGCCAAATTCTGATGTACTACAGAATAAATCATAATACTAAGTAGACTGATTAGTTTTTGTTTATAATCAATCATAAAACCCCCCCACTTGTATGCATAGTTACCATGTGATTCAGGCATTATATTTTCCACTTAGAATACCTTTCATTTTAAAGACAGACTGCTTGATAAATATATAGGCCTAGAAGTTACATATAAATGTATGGATAGCCTTCCAGGCACCAAACTTGCAAGGTTCATGATGCTGAAGGCCATCAATAACTCTATTCTAAACCAAAAGTTTAACATATTCTACTAATAATTTGGTGTAATCCATAGAAGGAAATCTAAATTGCCCTCCTGAGATCTAATTTGCCATTTGACTCTACATATTTAGTTTCTTTTTTCAGCTTGTGCATTGTAGGAGTTATATTTTCATTTGAAAATAGAAAACTGGTGAAAGTACTGTAATAAGAAAATGCAACATTCAATAGAAATAATAGTATGCTTAAGCAGTAGTGGCACCAGAAATTTTCCGACAAGGGGTAGGAGGGTTCCGGACCAAGGCAACAATGAAGTTTTGGTCGATGTCCCGCAATAAAAAAATCCCTCTTAGGGTTCATGGGGAGAGTTTTTATGGCTTAATTTGGTCCTAAATGTGCTTTTAGACCACAATATTAGGGATTGGCAATCAAAATGGCGTTATTTGGACAGGCAAATTTTTATTTTTTTTACATTTTTGGTCCGACAACCTAGTATTTTTTGGGACGACTGGGGGGGGGGGGCTAATGCCCACCCTGCTTGTCCGCTGGCGCCACCACTTTACTTAAGAAGGTATATAGTACGGACTCTAAATGTGGTTAAACTCAAATGTACATATTCAGTACATTGCTTAAGCAGGGGCCCCAAGTCTTCCGGAAGTTGGCAATCTGTCTCAGCCTACAAGAATACAAAAGTCTCTCAGAAGTTTTGTGCCACTGTCTGTTTGATCACCAATTACTAAGATAGGAATCATGCTTGCTAGCTATCAGTTACTTGTTTTGACACTATATCACTCACTGAGCTATTTAACAGTCAGTTAGCAATAAATAGTTATATTGATGACGCCCTGTGGTTAGATTGGTGATCAGTGGATTGTAGCTTTGTACATCATTAATCTCTTTTGACATGTTTTACAGGACATGAAAATGGTTCGTGGGACAGGAACCAAAGCTTCAATTAGGTAAATAGCTATTGGTTAACATTCCAGGGCATTAACCTCAAGGTCAGCAGTTCTATGCTATATTATTAATAGCAGATATGGTAATAGTACTGTGTTACTTGTAGTCCGTAAGTCAGTGCACTAAAGCTGAAAGTTAATATTTTGTTTAGGCTTATTAACATTGCCCAATATTATTGCATATTAAATAATTTAATTAATTTTAGGTTATAGACATATCAGTCATAAAATAGAAACCTATGTTCATCATTAAAATATAGTTATAGTATATTATAGTTGCAGAATCTTCAACAAGATGAAGGCGACAACTTAAGGGAAGAAGAAAATGTTTAATTGATCTATTAATTATTATTATGTTAGGCTTAGTTTTGTATATAGTGTTATTGAAACTTGTGGTCCACTTTGTGAATTAGATGATTAATTAAAACTTGTCATTTGTAAACAAAATACCAAAGGTGAACAAGTTCTGAGACTTTCTTTGTAGAGAAGTCCAAATCTGTGATCTGTGGTACAATTTAATTTATACAATCATGATGATGACAAATAGACAACTGTCATAGTCCCACAGGTTTACCCACAAGTAGACAAATTTACTCTCACCAGACAGAATTATGTCCTATCAACCATTATGATCTTGACCCTTCACTAGTAATTGTCAGCTAAACAT